TGAAGATACCTTTTTGCTTTTGTATTTATTGACTAGAACCTACCAAAAGCAGTTTATAACTAACTGAAACACTTTCTGATATTTTTCCTCTTATCCCAGGAACACAGCAGCTCATGAGTATTTCTAGACCCAGTGTCACAGGAAATGTGGTACATACAATTAGTCTTTAGCTGCCTTTATAATTGCATAGGCTCCCATGGCATAAAAATCAGCCTATGGTCAGTCTCCCACAACCAAATGGATGCTGAAGCTTGGGATCTTCTGAGGATGGAAGCAATGCTGGAATGCAGACCACAGTCAGGAGGAGACCTGCGACCCCAGACCTTGTCCCCAGCAGCTTTGTGAAGGATGAGGAACAGCAAAATGTTTAATCAAATGCCAGAAGCAGCTAAGCGGTTGCAAGGGAGAACAAAAGATAGGGAGGGAACTCAGGGAAAGCACAATGGAGAGGATTTGGAGGAAGATAAGAAAATGTTTTTTTAAAAAACCCCAACAAACAAAGCCAAATTTTAAGGAAAGAGAGAGGGAGAAGCGAGGAAACTAACTGTACAGGAGGTGAACATGGATATAGAAAAAAAAGATGACATGGAAAAAAATTAGTACTGAAAAGTAGCAGATGAGAGAAGAAAAGAATGCAGAAGAAGAAAACCTAGAAAAAGGAAAAAAAGGAAGGTAAGATTCGTCTTTCAGGTCAGTAAGAACAGTTAGAGGTGCTCTTTTGCAGAAGGGGAGAGTGATGGGCGAAAAGCTCAGCTGGAGCCCTTGCGAAAGCTCAGCTGGAGCTTCTGACTGTGGCTGCTGACAAGGAGCTCATCAGTCCTCTCCAGTGTGAAGCCTACTGTGATGATGGAGAATAGTATTTCAGCTAAAATGTAAAGTCATGGAAGTGGCGGATGCGTGTGGTTATTTAAGCTCCTGTGGCACACTTCCTCATGAAGTGTCAGTCCTGCGCCTTAGCCAAAGTCTAATCTGGGTAATTACCTTCTGCCTACATAAATTTCGCAGCGTTTTCACTTGGAGGCATTTCAAGGCCTGTGTCCTGTTTGCAGAGTTGTGAGGCAAAAGCCCCCAAAGCACCTTGTTAATGTGTTGATGCCCCTCTGAAGGGAAAGGCGGCCCCCTTCCCTCCTCAGGTGGGTGTCAGCCCTGCTGCCAGCAGCACCGAGCTGCCTCACGGATGCTTCCAAAGACCAATCTACTTTCAAATGGGCAAGTGGGCACCATATGACAAGCATAAACAAACGCTCTGGGAGGTACTGTGCTGCCTTCCCAGAGTGGAAGATGGTTTAGCAGGAGCCAGGAGGTGCCAAGCCATGTTCCTGCCCAGGGAACAAACATCCCCACAACTGGGCATTTCTCCTGGGGCCCTAGTCCTGCCTGTAAGCTCAGTTCACTTTCCATACCCTTCCCTTTAGCCACAGGGAGGTAAATCATCTCCTCTGAAGGCTTGACTCCCTCTTGTCTTTTTTTTTTAGGGAAAGTGGTCCTGGGACAGCTCCTGCACATCCAGTGCTGTGCCTCCATCGAAGCTGACATGGTTTTTGGACAAGGGAGCCCTGGGATGCAGGTATGCTCCTCATTTGGACTTGTAAGGCTCCCTGCAGTGGGTAGCTGTCCACTTTCTCTCAAAGACCAGTCAGAGAAACAAACACATAAAAATCTGTCAAAATGAATTTGTCAGCAATAAAAGAACTGCAAAGATAACCAAGTACTTGCTGTCACTGAAGAGGTAAAGGAACAGGAAAGGGCAACGGGTTATAATGTCTTTAGGAACAGATGATACATCCTTAGAGCATTATTTATCTTGTCATGAGTTGCAGAAACAACCAGCCCATTGAAGAGCAGAAATACCATATCTTCCTGAGGAAGAAAAGAAACAAAATCTGCCTTCCCTGTTTACACTGAGCCAAATGTGAGCGTTTCGGGCTGGGGGAGGGGAGTGCTGGTACTGTGCATACCACACAAGCTTCATACTGTGGTTGAAAATGGCAGGGGGTCCTCCCACCACCCCACAGCCACCCTATCCAGTGACCGCCATGGTGGCACTGCAGCGACCATCTGCCACCCACCACAATGGGTGAGGGCTGCAGCCTGGCACAGTGGCCGGAGACTGTGCCACCCTGCAAAGCCCTGTGCTCCAAACAGTCTGACAAGGATGCACTGCCTCCACAGCAGCTTCATGCTTTGGCCCCTCCCCATAATCTCTAGCCACGTGAGCATCCATGCCATGTAACACAGTGTGAAAGAGCTGACCTGCTCCATCAAATATCAGAGCTTGACTGTTGCCTGTAATTCCAGGATCTGACCCTTTAGTCTGTGCCCCGTCACCTAGGGGAATGTCTGAGCTTATAGAAAGAAAAGAAGCTCATAAAAGTCCAAGAGATTTTATTTCCACATCTCTGGGTGTTTCCTGCCTCCTGCTGAGTCCCCTGTTAGATGTTCTGGTCAGTGACCCATCTTGCTGTGCAGCTGGGGGAATTGGCTGGAGGTAGAGGTGCTGGTCCAACAGCTCCACCGAGGTGCTTCTTTCCCACCAAACAGGGCAGGCGGTCAACAAGGCTTCTTCCAGGTGAAGCCACATCCATTTCTGGGGGCTGAGTTTGTGCTGCATGCAGATGGGAAGCCAGAGGGGCTGGTGCAGCACAGTCCCAGCATGGCGTGGTGGGAGGATGGATGTCCTGGGGCCTCGGAGACTGCGAGGCATGGGAGGTTATGGCCAAGACCTCTCCCTTGCTCCCATAATAGCACAACACAGGCGCAACCCTCCCAGCACAGAAGAGAAGCTGTGTGTATTCAAGACTTCCATGCCACCACTCATGCAGTTTCCTCAGAAGTTCATCTGATCTATGGGAGTAATGATTAAAGCAGACCAGTTCCACAGCCAAAATAGAGAGGACTTGTCTGTAGGTTGTTTAGAGAGCGACACATAACCACCATGAGGTAGCCATGGAGGGGACCAGCAATGCCCGGATCTAGCTGGGTGAGGTAGCTCCAAGAACTATTCCCTAGTGCAGGCCCAAGTGAAACAGCATCTGGAAGAATGTGTACAATTCCAGTAACTAACAGCCAGGAAAAATTGTTTTGAATTGGAAGAGGGGCAGAAAATGGCCAGGATAATTGGGGAACTGGAGAGGGTGTCCTATGAGAGAGATAAGAACAGGTGGTGGGATCAGTCTAGCCAAACAAAGGCTCAAAAGGATTTCAGCTCATGTCTATAAATACCACAAAGGGGAAAGAGCTACAGGACACTGTTAGCAGTAAAAAAAAACAAAAAAAGGACAGATACTGGACATGATTGCATTTGGATTAGAAATTTGAAGAAATTTCCTAACTCTTAGAACAAGAAAGTTCTTAGAACAACATTCCCATTAAAAAGGAATGGGCAAAATCACCAGCTTACTGTTAAAAGAATGCAAGAAGCTTATTAAAATGTTACTATAGTGTGGTGCTTCAGCAGCAGAAGCCTGAAACCGTTAATGCAGAAGCTCCTGCCATTGTTATATTAATGCTTTCAGATGTGATAACTCCACAGGATCTGCAAGCTGGAATAGTATTAGAAGTTGTAAAAATCTCCTACAATTTTTTGTAAGATGCTTTATTTTCAAATCCATACAAGTCAGATGTAACTTTAGAAAAAGACTATCATGTGGAAGTCAAAGATGCTGGCTTAATGCCATCTATGCTTGATACCAACAGGAACCAAATACTTGCAAGAGGGAGCAGAATTTGGTTCACACATTTATAAGTCCAGGACTATACATACAGTGTCTTGATCTGACACATCTCCATTTCTGAAACCCTGCACTTAAGACAGAATTCATTTTTAGATTCATTCCTCAAAAGTTACAACAAAAATTAACTTTGACTTGCCAGTTCAGTGACTTCATTTTGAATTTTAAGTTCTTGAATAAGATAGCGATAATTATGCCATACAGACAAGGAGAAATCATGCAACCAAGAGATAAAGCCTTGCTTAGGCGTTAAAT